GAGTGCGTTATTGAATTCATGCCACATTGTCTCAGAAAGAGATGGGAGTTATGTGTAGTGGTAACTTTTGTCCTTACTGTACTAACAAAGCTGTGGGCATTGCTGTCAAACCTAATTGTCTGCAGCGCATCAGGATAAAATGAATCTTTTCTCTTACCTAAACTCGTGCCTGGTGAGGTTTTACAAATGAGAAATAGAACTCAGAATGAAGCTTTACAATTGATCAAAATCATTTGCCATTATTTGTTGTACGCAACCCTATCCTAAGAACGCTACTGACAAAAATTTTTAAAAAGCATCTGGCCTTGGATTGTAAGCAGACTTGCTTGTCATGCTAGTGGTTGCAAAATGCAGATATTCGTTTTAAAGCTGCCTATTTCTCATTTGGATCTGACATATTAAAAAGCATATAATTAATGGTTGACATTAGTAATTAACATTAACTTTATGGTGCTTAATATGCCATCATTCATCCATCAAATAACTGGTATGCCTAATGTCTTTGCATAAAGGTTTTAATTGCACAAAATGATCCTTCGGTTCTCAGGCTCTACGGTTTAAAGTAGTTGTAAATGCGTTTTTTAAAAGATGTGAATTTTTCATTTATTGAACGTAAACACTGTTTTTGTTTCTCCCTAGGAGTGTGCACAAACGTGTAAGCCAGGGACTTCAGCTGGGGAGCACGGCCCCAGACGCACAGCTTCCATTAGTGGCTAAAGAGCACCACCTTGCTGTCGCCAGTGCTCTCTGGAGAAACTCCTGCTTGAAGAGCCAGAGAATGTCACAGATGCCACCTTCCCCACAGCTTGCTGATACAGCTGCAGGTTAGCATTGACCCTTCCTGCGACTTACTGGATTTGGTGCTATTTTCTAGGTCACAAACTTTCAAGGATTTTGCCTTTTGGGATATTTCTACTTCCATGTAGTAACTTAAATATGCATAAATGCAAAAAAGTAGATTCTATGCTAAATATTTTGACAAGAAGAAATATTGTAGTGTTGAATTACTTGATAGAATACAAACAGATTGAGAACTCCAAAGGGGTTTGAAGCTATACAGGGCTGACTTCTTTTTCCCTGCTACTCACAGATTATAATCAACACTGCGAATGTTACACAATATAAATGAGAATAACTTCTTCCACTATATCTAGAATTTACATCTTTTTGTAGAAGGTTATTAGAATTTTGTGTTGATCTGTTTATTATGGTTGTGATTAAAACTATTTTTTTTAAATAATATTTTACATTTGAAGACAATTTTTAAAAGGTTGATTACATGACTTGTTTTTTGCTGAACCCTTACGGTCATAAAACTGTTTCGTAATTCATTTTAGTTATTTAACTTGCTTTACACTGAAGGGTTTTAATCTTGAAGTACAATGTTCCATATGTATGTGAACTCCATGTGCATCGAGTCAGCATGGCAGTGAACAGAAAGAAATCCCAGTTTGATCTTTAACATCAGTAGCTAGCATTGTATTCTGTAGTTACAATGAAATCTTGTAGCCATTTAACTAAAATTTAGAGAAGTGAAATAATATAATTTTTTTTTTTTCTCATCATAATATGAATTAGATAAAATTACAAGCTCAGAAGTACCGAGTTGGTAGTAGAAAAGTTAAAAGACCCTTCATTTGAAGCAGCTCTGCAGTAGTTAGTAGGTAACATTAATGAAGGAGGCAGCGTGCAACGGTAGTGGTCTCGCACTGCTGAAGCATGTATGGGAAACAGCAATACAAATCAAAGGAAGAGGTTGTTAATGTCAAAACTTTCATTCATTTCCTACAGTGTCATATCTTTTTATTTTATATTGACACAGTGAAACAGCAAGAAGAAGAACCCATTATAAACTCCACTTAGAAGCAGGAGAGTGCAGTTGTGACCTGCTTTATAGAGATGTGTTAGGCAGTCCTACAGGGGAAGGCAAACCCTTCCCAGGCTGTATGAGCTTCTTGCCTTGGAGGTACAGGCCAGAGAGAGCTGCTCTGGAGTCGCAGCTCTCCTGCTCCCCCTGCCAGGCAACAGCCTGGGACTCACACTGAGGTGTCTGTCTCCCATTTCTCCTCCACCCATATGCTATAGAAACAATGTGATAATCTGGAAGAAGTCTGGCACAAACTGCTTCCTCACCTGAGGCGGAGTGGGCACTCTGTATGACCTCCTTTTTTTTTGTTCTGAGGCGTATAAGGAAACGTGAAGTCCTTCATAGCTTAAGGTAGTTTGTCCCTCCACCATTAATTAAAATAAATTTGTTGTTGTTTCTGAAAACTAGCCGTTTCTGTCTAATTCAAAGTCAGCTTCTCAATGCATGCAGTTTTATAAATCATTATTTTAATAAATTAATATTACATTTATATTTAACGAGGGGAATTTGGGAACTAGTGAGCCCCTTGTCCTCCAAAGTCAGTTTTCCTGACTCACTTGAAGCCTCTCATTTCCTGTAACCTAATAACTGCTTAGCATTTCAGATTACAATTTTCTCCTCAGTTTAAATGCTTTTGTCATTTGCAGCATAAAGAACATGCTATGTTTTTTATGCTGGTAGTGTTAGATATAGATTCTACAGTAGACCTAACAGAAACAGCAAAAGGTTGTGCTTCATTAACAAAAACTATGCAAAGTACTGTCCCATTTTCTAGATCTGCAGCTGTTAGATGAAGATCCTTTTTCAAGAACAAGTTTGTCCATAGTGCTTTATTTACGCAGTGGCTTCTGATACATGAAGGTCTATTATAAAAATAGAAAGATACCAGCTTTTACTGAGTGAATTCTTTCCAAATACAGTTCTTCACTGCAAGAGGTGTGTAAAAATAACTAAGCAAATAAATAAAACTCAGCCCTGTAAAGCACAGTAATACTTGTGTGTACAGGGGAGGAAGTGGTGGATGGAGGCAAGAAAGGGACGCCAAGAAGACAAAAAAGCAAGTTTTTTAAGACATGTTTTATATTGCAAAGGTGGTAAAGCTGTCCCCTGAGGCTTTATAATCTGTGATTTCACGAATATATTTTAAATTGTGTATGTTTGGAACGATTTTCCCTCCTTAGCTTTCAGTGTGTCATGTTGACTTACAAACTCCTTGGGACAGAGACTACACTTTAACATGTCTACAAATGCTTTCTGTTAGAATAGTTGTCCAGTTTTAACTGAGATTTCTGGTACTCCCAGACTTCTCATTATTAACCGTAATTCATTTTCAATGCTTTTTAGTGGCGCAGGGACATTCTAAGAAACCATTAACATGGTGCCATGTTTTTCTCTCTTTAAAATCAGGTTTTACTCTCTTAGCTTTGGATATACCCAGCAAAGCCCTATCAGATCTCCAGCCACAACCTGTTCTATCAATGATGCAGCTGTTTGGATGGGATGACATGGTGTGGCCTCATCTGGTGTCAAGATATCTAAGTCACCTAGTTCAAAACAGGTAAAAAATTGTGACTGCTTGTTCCTCCAGTACCCTCTCATTAGACTTGTGGAAAACATCGCTTCGAACAGTAACGTTTCGTTAAGATGGTCCAAGTTCTTCGCATCTGTTAAAGTTCTAGGTTTCTTGAAATCATCTGGGACATTTCACAGGGGATAGTGGGTGTTATTCGGGTTGGGTTTGTTGTTTGTTTTCTGTGTAAATAGATGTGTAAATAGCTTAAGATACTCAAAATTTGTCAGGAAGATAGGTAAGAATGTTGAAAAAGTTATTTGTCTTTTATATAGAAGTTATATAAAAGATATATACCACTTATTTTTTCCCAGTGGAAACAGCGTTGTTACTAACAGATTTTGGAAAATGAGGACCTAGACAATACCTTCAGAGAAGTGCTTCCGTGAAGAGCAGTACTGCATCAAAGTGAAATACCTGAACACATAACCTATTTTTTAATTGGCACAGTTGTAGTTATCCACCCTGTTCTATTGTTGTTACGCTTGGGCAGAGTTGTTAACAGTTTGGCAAGGCAGTAGCCTCCTGCCCTAGCTGCCCTTGAAGTTAAGTAACGTAACTTGGTAAATGTAAAATTTCTAGTTAAGTGCTGGATATTATTTTTCACCTACCAGTTACACTTAACACAAAAACTTAAATCTTCTTGTAAGAAGTCAAGATACACATTATCACAGAAATCTGAAGATCCTATATAGTAAGTATTCAATATTTAAATAACTTGACTTCTTCAAGGCAAAGAACTTCTGCAGGAAGCTGAGGAGGATGGGCTGGGAAGTATTGAAAGTATAAGGAAAATGATCATAAGGAAATACATGCATTGAAACTTTCTTTTTGACGAGCTTGGAACACTTTCTGAGTGCAAATTAATGTTCATGTAGCTCAGGTTTCTGAGACCTGCTAAATGGATGCTTTAAATTAAGCAATAGGTTTAGAAAATTTTATCTCATTCCTATGTTTTTGCATGCCAATGTTGAATTTTCACAGAATCACAGAATTTTTTAGGTTGGAAGGGACTCTTGAGACTAGGTAGTCTAGCTTGTCCAGTGCTTCTGCTCAAGCAGGGTTAGTTATAGCAGATTGCCCAGGATTCTGTCCAGTCAGAATTTTATATACCTGAGAAACTTTATTTGCTTTAAGTAGGTCTCTAGGAACCTAAGATAGATGGGGGGTGGTGGTTGTTGTGGTGTTTGGGTTTTTTTTCCCCTCGCCCCGCTTCTGAATCAGGCTTTGGAAGCAGGGGAGGTGAGAGATGAGAGAGAGTGTTTCTATGTCGGACTGTATTTGAAAGTGAAAAATGTTGCACATTTTTAGGGTACATATTGTACTAAGGAGCATAGCTGTAAATCAGGATATGGTAGGGACTATTTCAGTGTGATCAACGAAGATGAGGGTATGGCCTTCTTGCAGGGAGATGTTAAAAGAGGTTGAATTTAGTTCCTTGGGTATCGGTTTCGAACTAAGGACAGGAGCGTTCAGTCCTGAATTGCCATATTTCTCTTGTATGATCTTAAGACTTCATGGTTACTGTGCTCTGGTAATTTTCACATCAAGTTCTCAGTTAAAAAGTAAAAATGTTATTTTGTTGCTGATGCTGTTATATACCCTGCAAGCTCTGCCTGCTCTTTTTAAGACTGAAGCTTGTTCTGCACATCAGCTATTTCAATATCGATAATAAAGGTTCTGATGAACAAGCTGTGCCCTTGGGAACATGCACACAAGCTTTGACATTTCTTTTGCGGTAGTGTCTAGAAGTTCCGCTCCAGACCTGTGCTGTGTAGTGCGTGATAATACTGTAACCTGTATAAACTAACTTTGAGCATGTATATAAGCTCACTGGTTTAAAAGGACTACTTGCCACGCTTCTAAAGGTGGTTATTGTTCTTTCCTTTCGTAAGGATTAGGAGCATATTCCTCTCCAGTTTTAGGAAGATGCCTGAGTGGCCTCCGTATCAGCAAGCAAGAGAAACAAGAGTGAGACTACAGCAGAAAGTGGTTTTGTGAGCCTTTGGGGCCGAGTAGACTAGCTGTGTACATCAAGATTACATAAGGCTGGAATTGTTGATATGTTACTGCAAAGAGCATTAAGTCCATAGGCATCCTGTTTTTTTTACCTTTTGGTGCTAGAATTTAGTTTTCATTTTTTATATTTTATTTGCTTGCATTTGGTTACCTTATTTATTTTGTCAGTAATACTTCACCAGGGGTGTTCGGACAAAATGTACAGTTGTCATTGGTTTTAACTAAACGACACAGAAAAACACTTTATTAATGTTGTTTAGTGAGAAACAGAATCCAGTTTTAGTTCACAACTGGACCTGTGTCAACTTTCTGTTACAAGCGTGAGTAAAAATTCAGTAGAAAATAAGCAGATTTATATGTACATATATCAAAAAAGACTACAAGCATTTTTCATTAAAGTTGAAGCACCTAGGACTGACCAAGGAGGAAATCTCTCAAATAAAAAGCCATAACTATTTTCAAAAAATTTCACTGACCTGAAGCACACACAGAGCTCATCTGGTAGGAATGGGAAACAGGGTGCAGAACAGGCCCACTGTCCATTAACAAGGAGTTTCTGCAGAATTAATGATGCAGGGCTGATATGCTTGGGGAAGAAGTGACTGCAGCAGCTCCTCACGGTGGTAAGGCAAGTCAAGCTTTGGCAATACTGAAGAGTAGAGTATGGGGATTGTGCTTTGAGCGTTGATGGTGCCATTTACTCCAGCCTGACGCTTGGCTGGTAGAACAGCATCCATTGTTTGATTGAAAGTATATACAGCAAGTGTGCTGCGTGTGGGAATGTATATATTTGTGTGTGTACACGTACATAAATGCCTATGCCTGTGAGTGTGGATCAAGTATAGTGGTTTCCTTTCTCGTTTCCAAGGTGCCTTTTTATGTTTCATTTTTTGATCTGCTTCTAACATGACATATCTTTATTTTCTAAGCAGACCTTCTCTTCTCCATGTTTTCTGTAGCTAGAACTAAGCAGACTTCAGAGTAGCGTGGGGCACCTGAGCTAGTTTTATATGAAAGGCTGGAGCAGCTTAAGCAGTGTCAATGTGAAGTTCCAGGTTGATTCAGATAAACTATTTCCAGCATTGTACATCATCAATTTAGATAATGCTATCAGATTACCCATTGTCAGAATAAGGCATTTCCCATTGCGTGAATTTTCCACCCTCTGTTTTACTTTCTGTGGTGAACACATATGTGTATATATATGCTTTTGTATTACTATGTGTGGAATTACCAGATTTATCATGTTCTTCGTATTTAGGCATCGGGATACTGTGAGCAAAGTCTGTAGAGTAAACAAAAGGAATGCCCGTTGGCCTTCCTGTTATTTTATTTCTAATTGATTCTGTGCACTGTTTCTATGTGTCTACAGCCAAATGCGACACACTGCCACCTTTTTTGCATACTTTTATTAGATCTCTTACCTTTTTCTTCCTCTTCTGCCTATGCAGTGCACTGCGTGAAGCTTTTTCTAGTATGGGATATACATCCTATGAAGCTTTGACAGTACGATCTTGGTTTCGATGCGTGTTGCAAATGTTCATAGATCAACCAAGTGGTACGCTGGCCAAGACAGATGCTGAGCGAACAGTTGGTAAGTGTTCACATTTCCCTAATGTTTGCAGTAATGATTCTATATTGCAAAACTGGCAAACATTTTCAGCTAATTACAAAATGTATTTTTGTTTGTATTCCTTTACTTTTACCTAATTACAAAATGTGTTTCTTTACGCTGCTTGTGCTATTTATTGATAGCTTGCCTGCTCTGCATATGACAAATTTATCACAAACAAAGATAAAAGAGCTTGTTTCCTTGGAAGCAAAGAACAAAAACTTGCTCCCAAGGAGACAAGCTATTTTTCCCCCATGGAGAAACTGCTCTGAAAAAAGTGAAAATCTGAAGTAAATAGTCAGAGATCATGCTGTGAATGCCCTAAAAGAAGAGGAAAAAAAAAAAAAAAAAAGGAAAAAATAAAAATCCAATTGCAAGTAATTCTTTCCTCTTTTTATATTGGCTAGTTTGCTTTCTTAGAGCAATGCTTCATCACTTCTTCTATAAAACACTGCAGTTCTAATTATTTATAGAACACATCTTCTAGTGACTATTTTTCATACATATTTTGTAGATTTTGAAGAAAACCATCAGTGAAATCAAAGACTTGGTTATACATTCTTAATACTCTTCACTCTCTTGTATCTGTATTAGAAGCATAACTAGTTTAGACTCACATTCTTTGTCTAGAGAGATGCAGTCAGTTGCAGAATCCTTGTGTTTCAGACATGTTAATATAATGTTTCATTTTGTGATTTTGGGACTAAAGTAAATCGAAAAGCATAACTATATACTGTATTTACTGCTGTGCTCTCTTGTAATGAACAGGGAAAGCCTATTTGGAGCAGCTGACTGAAATGACAAGACTGATTTTTAAACTCTCAGAAGTAGAAAACATTCTTGCAAAGGCTCATGTTGAAGAATCAGTTTTCAAGCAAGACCCTAAAAATGCTCTTGTCCAATTCATTAAGGTACTGTACATCTCGGTGTTGGAACATTAGGAAAAAGCAATTATGTATCAGATTTTGTTTGGTGTATGAAAAGAAATTACTCATACAAATCTTGTAAGAGACTTAGTAAGTTTATATTTATTTCAGTGTTTCTGTTTTCTCAGGCTGTTGGTAAAACTTACAGTGGCCTTCAGACACTCCCTGAGAAATCTGCCATGGTAGCAAAGACTCTGGAATATTTAGGTGATGTGTTAAAGTATGTAAAACCTTATCTGAAGGTAAAAGGACCTCCAGAAGGCCTGCAGCTTACCTATTGGATCATAGGTAATTATTTTGCAACCTCTTTTCTTTTAGGAAATAGTTTTAAGGAATCAGTAAAATCTGATTTTCAATACTTTTTCTTCCCCTCTCTACTGTCCATCTGAATGGTTTAAAAAAGCAAAGTTGCAGAGATGTTAATTTCCTTCCACTGATTTTCTTTGGTCTTTATCCTGATGTCTAGTTTTTAAGTTTATTATTAAAGTGTATTTCAGTCACTACTTCACTTTCTGTGGGCTTGTTAAATTATAGGGACAAAGCCAGGAACTTAACAAATCTAAACACCTCCTGTCTGTGGTCAGATTGTGTCTTCTGCCATCCCATACATCATAGCAGTGGTAATAGGAGGAGTACTTTTAAATGAGCATGTTCCTTCAAAACAGGAAGCTTAGACAACATTATTAGAAGTATTGTTAAGCGATCATTCTCTTTCTCTATGATTGATCATTGTGTTTTCTTTCACTCCACAAGATTAATGTTGTTTTGCGTTGTTTTTAGAGATTGTAATGGGTGACTTTTATAGATTAATAATATCTTGTAACAGCCTACTTTTGATCTTTTGTTATTTTCAAAGTCTTAAACATATTTTACTGGGATATTCCTGTATTTTCAACCCAGCAAACTTTCTTGCTTCTGATTAAATACAAACTTAAGAACGTCTGTGCGAACTACTGCATAGGAATCTTGCTTTATTTAAGCTGTATTTTGTGTATTAATGCTCACGAGTGTAGAGTTATTTTCTCAAGAAAAATTACACCTCACCTGCAATAAAGATGTTTGTCAAAGTCAGGGTATTTACACATCAACACCTTTTTACCCTTTTTTTTGCACCTCAAAAGCAAGATCTTAAAAATTGCATGATATGTTGATGTGTTGAAAACAAGAAAGATGTTCTCTGAGGCTCTTGTTTTGTGGACTGAGAGGCTGCAAAGATCTGGAGAGACTGTGCTGGTTTAATGGAGTTGGCTGCCCCTAATTCTTTTTCGTGTGCCAAATTAGATGCATTAAATACAATTTGATACATACTTAATGTTTTCCTAACATTGAATCACTGTGTTAGGAGTTGCTAACGTGGCCACAAGTGGTGCTAGACAAATGCAAAGGGAAGGCAAAGGCAGCATCTCTCTGTAAAATGTGATGAGTGCACACAGTAAGGTAAATATTTAAGTGCATGTGTGCTGATTGTGATAGTGTTTTGTATCAAGGTTAGTTTAATTTTCCTGCAGGGATGTAGGAGACTGTCTTTTCTTTAGCGTCACTGTACTTCTCCTAAAGTAGCTTCAGTTGCCTCAAAACTTGTAATTGAAATGTATTGAATCGATTTAGTACTTTCATTTTGCTGAACTGTGAATGGACTTTGAGTCGTGTTCACTGAGCGTTTTCAGTTTCAGAGACATTTCAGTTGCTGTTGCTACTCTTGGATTATCTAATTTGACGTAATTGCTTCTTATAGTCTTTCTTAATTTATTTATTTTTGCCTGACCAAATTGCTTTGAGATTTCGTAGTTCTTTTTCAACAGGATGTCTGGTAAAGTTCTGGGCACCGATACTGGCTACTTCCAAAGCGCAGCAACTGCTGTTCCGCATCGTGGATTGCTTGCTGCTGCCGCACTCTGTGCTCCAGCAGGACAAAGAGCTGCCTGTGGCTTTGCTGTCTGCCATTCAGGAAAGCCTACCTCTTTATCTTCAGGTAAATATCTGACTCCTATTATCAGCAGACAAACATACCTTCAGGAAAAGATTCATATCCCAGAGGATGCTATCTTTTTTCTTACTTGAAACAACTGTTGACTAAGTTTAAAGCAGCAGCAAGGGGAGTTTTCTGTTCATGTGGAAGCAGAAAGAAAAATGCCACCCCATTGGGTTTGCTCTCCTTTCATGCAGCTATGCTGTAGTATGCTCCAGAGCTGCTAATCTAATAGCTGTTTGTCGAGAAGCTTTTAGCCAACCTGCTGTTTGCACTGGTCTCTGACGTGAGAGACTGCTGAAACAGTGGATCAAATAATCATATGTAGCAGGACACTTGTTGAGATGACAGAGCAAACAAATGTTTTAAATAATCCTTGACTTGGCTAACTGTAGATAATTAAAGATGAGCTACTCTTTCTTCGTTGCTTGTAGGAACAAAAGACAATCCTCTGCGTATCATGGCACTGTTTTATCTTAAGTCTGAGAATGTGTTCTGCTGAATCAAATTCCTGACATGACTAAAGCCTTCTTGCCTGTTATTCCTTCCATTCTTCCCGCTGCTTACCTATCACTCTTCAAATTTCGTGAGGCTTGTTGATGCTATAGAAAGAGACTAATTCCTGCAGGCAAGGAAGAGAAAAGATTGTATTTTTAAAATAAGTAAGTTGACATGTTTTCCCTTGTAAATCCTTTAGTCTTTTTTCCTTTCTGTTTTCCCTTCCCGCTTGTTCTTCATTTTGATTGCAGTCTTAACTGATTACTTTACAGGGTTGTGTTGTGAAACAATGCAGTGGTGACATTGTAAACATCCCTCGGATTTATTCCTTTCAAAAGTTGCATGGTGATTGATGGCATGTCATATGGAAGTGATTATATAATGATGTCCAGAATATGACTTGCTTTGCCGCTCTGTAGGTGTTTGCAGAAGCTATATACATGTAGGACCATCTGGACACTGATATTACCACAAAGTGTGACTGTCTGCTTTCCAATTTGGTATTTTAGTCAGAGCACGCTGTTTCTCTGTAGTCGGCACATACGGATGTAGTTTTAAGATAAAGCCACTCAAGCTGGTTTTGAGGTCCAAGTGTTGTGGGCCCTTGTTTCCCGTTTTCTTTGTCAGTCTCTGACTTCCCGACCTCGTTGTCGTACTCTTCAGCAGTCCGCTGCGTAGTCCATGTGCTTTCCAGTTAAGCTAGATGACCTTATTGACCAAATAGTTTATTTTAGACAAATGCTGCTGCTAGACAACCAGTAATTCTTGAATTTGAGACACTTCTGGGGAGAGAAGACAAAGAGGAGACTCATTTTACTATTTCAATATGGAACTTCTACATTTTATGGTTGGTTGTATTTACGAAGTTCCAACATTTTTAAGTGCTTCAAATGGCTTCATTCAATCCAAAATAATTCGGCTTTATTTGGGAAGATGGAAAAATTCTGATTCAGGATCAACTCAAAATGAAAATATTTCAATATCAGTTTCAGAAAAAATTCTCTTAGGACTGCTTCTGAGCTCCTTTGGGATCCAGTGGATTCTAGGCACTGTCTGACTTCTCAGGTTATTGTTTCACAATTGGCTTAAGGCTAAACTCATTCCCTTTCACCCCCCGTGTGCATTCCCTTTTAATTTGCTTTAATGAGTCTGTGAATAGCAATTTGTGAGTTGATTCAACTAGTAACTAGCCCCACAAACCAACAAACAGAAACCCCCAAACCCACTGGGCATATCAGAAAAATGATAAAACAGTATATCTTGGAAAGAAAGCATGTAAATGTGGTGGGAGGAAAGACAGAGAAACAGAATCCTCTGGGCATAGCCCCACCTTGACTAACTTAAACTGCTGGTGAAATGTAATCAGACTCTCCTTGGGTGGCTGCCCTATGTCTGGTGCCTATTTGTGGAGGTGGACAAATGATATTTTAGTGCAGGAGCCTTAATCCACCCTAATGTTAGACAAACATTGTTCTATAGATCTGTGCCTGTTAATACTCTAGCTTACAACTTAATCCTTTGGCAGTTACACGAAAATAAAGAAACAGGAATTTGGAGACCGTGCAAAATATCTTCTTATACATGCAAATTCTTTATTCATAGTCAAAGCATAAAAGCCCTTGAGTAGCATTTCTACTCAGAGGTCTTTTCAATTCTTTTTTTTTTCTTTTTTTTCTTTCCAGTCTTCTGAAAAGTTCCAGGCTCCATCTCAATATCTCAATCTTCTCTTCTTTTCTTGTCCTGAATTCTCCTTCTTCAGCTCCTTCAGTGTGGGCTGCTCCTTCTTTGTCCAAAAAAACCTCCTTAGATGTCAGAAAATGTCTTAGTTTGCAAGCAACACTTTGCAAAACTTCCGTCTTTCCAGAGCTTTTAACAACTAATCTTAATGTGGTTTATTTGATCCTTTTATGTGGGTTTTGAAAGGATTTGAAATCAGTCTTAGTAGCAGGTAATTAATTTCACACGTTCATTGATGCAGCAATCTTATGAAATCCTATAGAATCCCTGAATTGTTTAGAAAAAGATTCCTCAAATGTGTGTAATGGCAATGCAACTGGCCACACAACTTGGGCAGCAGGCTTAAGAACAAGGACAAACGTTGTCACTGTGCTGTACTGAGCAGGCAACGCCTTTGTCTCCCTATAATGGTGGAGGCCAATTTTTCATCTTTTAGGACAACATACAAAGCTCCTTCTCTCCCCACAGCATAGGATATTACTACCTTCACAATTCATCAAAACTGATGACTGTATCTCACCCTCCTTCACCACCCCAAACCTACAGGTTCATTTTTAATAGATCAAAATTACAGGCTTTGTTAGATTTTACATAAGCACAAATAATTGTCAAATGCACTGATTAAGACTAAATGTTGCATTTCTCTCTCCTCAATTCAGACTGACTATATTTAGTTGTTGTGTTTGTGTTCAGTGTGCGTATAAATTTGGGCTGTACAACTATGCCTTTTGGCAGTTATTGCACAACTGGTCTGTTCTCCACTGTACACTGAACTAACCTAGAAGTTTCCTTCAAACTCGATCACTGATGCTGCCTTGTCAAAATAGCTTAGCTATGGCAACTTTTAAGCTAGTATTTTTTTCTTGCCTTAGAAGGTTACTGTCTGGATATTCTTTCTTTCACTGTGCGGCATCTGTTTTGATAATATTGATGACCTAAGAAAGGTATTTGTTGGGATATAATATCAAAATTGTCTTCAGAGTTGTTTGAATTGTGGACTTCAGAAAGTAAAGCATGAAGGACATGAATGAAGCGCCATTTTATAATTTTATGGGACTGTTCTTAATTATGAGATAGTGAGGCATGTAAAATCTAACTTTACATATTTTTGCCATTGTGAAAAGAAGTCGAGTTGATTTGTGTGGTAGTGGATTGTTGAAGCTCACTACAGGAAATTTGAGAGCAGTTGAGATTGCTTTTGGAAGGATTTCTTGGAGAATGATTTGGAGGAATTTTGGTACACATTTACCAGTAAGATGGGAAAGAACTGAGGCGGTGTACAGAACTTATTTTAGAGAAGAAATGCTGATTTAAATATATCTTGCAGAATACAGCATAGGTGCATGGGATAAGCATAATATACATCATGATGGGAAAGGTAAGACACCCTGCTTGATTTATCAGCATTAGTCCCATCCAAACACAGAAGTGGTGAAAGAGCTTAATTCTAAGTAGTGCTTGGCACATACATTTTCCAGTGATTTTAATGTGCCTGTGCAGGCTCAGCATTTGTCAGATATCAGACCTTAAAAGCCCTCCTGTGAGCCACGTCTGTGGTCCAATATTTGAGCAAGCTTATTAATACGTTTTGTGAATTATAGTATGTGTTTAATAGGAATTGTACAACATTAATTGGTGAACAGCAGATTTATTTCAACAGCAGGACTGATATTATAAGTCATCATTAGGTAGCTTGGCATTTCTGCAGTGAATAGTTCCAGTAATCCATACTAATCGGTTCTTCACTCTCCACAGGTGATTTACAGATATATGGATAAATCAGAAGAAAGAGGCAGCTCTGGGCACAAAAGGTTCCTGCAGTGAACACGCGCAGGAATCGGTTGCCTTACTGCTAAAATGAGGAGCAGATGTTGTCATGCCCCTCTGCTCCCCTTAAAATGTCTTTGATTTGGGTTTTTTTTTTTTAACCTCAGAAGATGGCTAAAGAACATAGTTAAGAAAGAGAGAGGGGCTTTATCAACCCTTTAATGTCCATCTGCTTTGTAGGGATTGTCCCAGGGGTCTGGTGTGATTGATTTCCTATCTCTGGTCCAGAATTGCAGTCCAAGTGGCATGTGTTTCTTTTCTCTCTCATGTGAGCAGTAGCTTCCTTCATCTCTGTTAATTACTAGGATTTAAAAGAAGAAAGTTCTATGTGATTTCCTTGTAATCACATCCTTGGCCAGTGCTGCCTAGGATATTTTGCCATTGTACTGAGAGATTTGCAGCTACAGTGCAGTGTTGGTCATTTATCCCTTGTACCACTTGGGATGTGGCGTTGTCAGACCTTGTGCAGGTCTGTTGTTCTCTGCGCTTATGTAAGAAAAAAAGAGTCCAAAATAAAGAATGCAGTGTTGAGCTAAAGTCAGCGGGTCTTCATGTCCAAAAGAAAAATCCAAGTTCTTCTCTGGAAAATGTTAGGGAACAAGGAGGCGTCATGGTCAAAGGTGTGACAGTTCTTCCCTGAAGAGCTTTGATGCTGTAGAGGTGCCCTTCACATGTGAGGACTGATTCATGGATTTTTCTACTATGTAGAAGAGAAGGATTTTTTTGTTTGTTTGGGGGGGTGTTCTTCTGACTCTTGACAAAGTGGATGGTGATTTTTCTCACTGCTCTCACAGTCAAAAAAAAAGAGTTTGTACTTTTGGATGCTGTTGATATAATCTTATAACTTTCATTAGGAAAAATGATGAGGATCCTCCTTATTGAAGAAAGAATTTTGGTATTACTACGTGGATTTAAAAATTACACCTTTTTAAAGAGGCAGCATCTCTGCCTAACTCACCAAAAAGGAACATAGAATCCTTTCTAAAGAAAACATTAAATTACAGGAAAAAAAGGCATTTTCCATGTTTTTAAACACTTCTTAAGATAACAGCTGTCCTTACAGGCTTTCAAGAGGTCTCTATCATCATCAGATAAGTAAAGAAAAAAATCACTAGTTAACTTAGGTCCTTTCTTTTCCTCTCTAGTCAAGTTTAGATTACATCTGTCTGCTTCCCACACCCCAAAAAATTAGAATCAGTTTACGTTGACTCAAAAAATGAAAATGCTTTTACGAAGGATCAGGCTAGGCTTGTTGAGTCATCTTCAAATGAAACTATTAGAAGATCTGCAAAAATTAGTCAGCGTTCTTTCAGATACCTAAATTCTAATATTTTTCTGCTTTTTATTGCACCTATAAATATCTAGGATTTCTTAAAAATACTAACTTATTTAATAATAACTGACTTGTTCCTTCTTTTCGTGATGCTATGTAGCATTTGTTGATCCTCAATTTGAAGAACTGTCTCATTTTAGTAATTATCATTGTTAGTTCTTCACAGGTATTACATTCTTCACGTGTTCCTACAGGTGTCCTCTGTAAGGTTGTTCCCTTTTGTCATAAAGATTAATACACTTTCTCACAGATTTTTTTTTTTTGGTAGTGTTAAAACAGTGTAGAGTCTTAAGAGTGCCAGCTCTGATCTGGGGATTATGAAATATTTTCTGTCTTTTTGTGGGAGCTGTAGTACAGAAAGCACGGACAACTCTTCTTCATGCCTGCTGCAACACCTTATTGAAAACACCAAAAACTCAATCTTACATACTAAATAATCTGTCAACTCTAACAGTCTCTCTGAGTCTGCTACTTGCCAAGTAATGTTTTTAAGAATTCTGATATAGCAGCAGCTGCTTTTTCCTACAAAATTTTGCTGTATGTACACAAAAGAGGAAGAGAATCTCATCTGTTTATCAAAGCTTCAGTTCAGGAAGAGTGGTTTTTATCATTGGGACTTAACCAAAATTACCAAGGACTCTAGAAGTATGTGAAGTTGAACCCTAAAGAACATGTCTGAGTTTAAGAGGGCCACCTACAGCTAGTCTTCAGGCAGGTCCTGAAGCACTTCATTTCTTGAAATCTCATGTTTCCTCTGTTTGTTTCCTGTGGAACCAAAAGTGGGAACTCCCTGTTTCAAGAACATACCAAGAGGACCCGCAGCTATGTCTCACCCTGCTTTTTTCTCAAAGAGTTGTTCTGTCATGTGCACACAGACAGATATCAAAGAAAGTCTTTTCAGGGAGGGACTTCTATGCGAAAAGCAACAGAAATACTCTTTGTCAGCAGCTGGCGAACAAAAGCAGCTTGTCTTGAACTATTCCTTCGTATATTAGGAGCGTTAGCTTACCTCAGCAACCATCAGTATTCAGGCAGATAGTCCTCCTACCAAAACTGGAGTCTGGATTGCAATGCTAAAGGAACTCTGAAGTACTATTGAAGTTTCTGTCAAGGGAACTCTGTGCTTGAACTTCTTTTATGCCATTATTCTTGTTGGACAAGCTGGTAAGGGAGCCTACTAGGAGAGGGACCTACTGTTTGTGAACAGAGAAGGACTGGTGGGAAATGCGGTCGTCAGAGGCCATCTTGGGCTTAGTGACCATGAAATGATAGAACTCTCTATTCTTGGTCAATTAGGAGGAGGGTCAGCCAAACCACAGCCATGGACTTCTGGAGGGCTGACTTCGGGCAGTCCTGAAGGGCAAGGGGGTCCAGGAAGGGGGGACATTCTTCAAGGAGGAAGTCTTAAGGGCACAAGAGCAGGCTGTCCTCATGATGATGGAAGATGACCTGGCGGGGAAGATGACCGGCCTGGTTGAACAGGGAGCTTTTGCTGGAACTCAGGGAAAAAAGTTGGGTTTACCAATCTTGGAAGAAAGGGTAGGTAACTCAAGAAGAGTATAGGGAGCTTGTTAGGTCATGCAGAGGGAAAATCAGAGAGGCAAAAGCCCAACTCAGGCTGGCCACTGTTGTGAGAGACAACAAAAAATGTTTCTACAAATACATGAACAAGAAAAGAGAGCTAAGGAGAATCTCCATCCTTTATTGGATGCAGAGGGCAACATTGTCACCACAGATGAGGAAAAGGCTGAGGTACTTAATGCCTTCTTTGCCTTTGTCTTTAATAGTCAGATCAGTTGTCCTCAAGATCATCAGCTCCTTGAGCTGGCAGACGGGGACAGAGAGCAGAATAAACCCCCCATAATTCAGGAGGAAGCAGCTAAAAACCTGCTTTGCCACCTAGACATCCACAAGTTTATGGGGCCGGATGGGATCCACCCGAGAGTACTGAGGGAGCTGGTAGAGGAGCTGACCAAACTGCTCTCCATTTATCAGAAGTCCTGGTCAACAGGGGAGGTCCCAGATGACTGGAGGCTTGCCAACATGATGCCCATCTGCAAGAAGGGCTGGAAAGAGGATCTGGGGAACTACAGGCCTGTCAGCCTGATCTTGGTGCTGGGAAAGGTCATGGAGCGCTTCATCTTGAGGGCACTCACATGGCATGTGCAGGACACCCAGGGACTCAGGCATGGGTTCATGAAGGGCAGGTCCTGCTTGACCAACCTGATCTCTTTCTGTGACCAGGTGACCCACCTAGTCAATGAGAGGAAGGCTATGGATGTCATCTACTTGGACTTTTGTAAGGCCTTTGACACTGTCTCCCACAGCACTCTCCTAAGAAAGCTGGCAGCTCATGGCCTAGACAGGTGTACACTAAGCTGGGTTAGAAACTGGCTGGGTGGCTGAGCACAGGGAGTTGTGGTGAATGGAGTTAAATCCAGCTGGCGGCTGGTCACAAGGGGTGTCCCCCAGGGATCAGTGTTGGGACCGGTTTTGTGTGACATGTTTATCAATGATCTGGATGAGGTGATCGAGCACTCTCTCAGTAAATTTGCAGATGACACCAAGTTGGGCAGGAGTGTTGATCTGCTTGAGGGTAGGAAGGCTCTGCAGAGGGACCTGGACAGGCTGGATCAATGGGCCAAGCTCAATTGTATGAGGTTCAACAAGGCCAAGTGCCGGGTCCTGCACTTGGGTCACAACAACCCCATGTATCGCTACAGGCTTGGGGAGGAGTGGCTGGAAAGCTGCCTGGCAGAAAAGGACCTGGG